GTTGTGTTCCACTGTGCCTGGCTCTTAATGCAGGGAATTTTTTTTTTTTTATATATATTTTTTAGCTGTCAATGGATCTTTATTTATTTACATGTGGTGCTGAGAATTGAATGCAGTGCCTCACACATGTTAGGCAAGCACTTTACCCCTGAGCTACATACAGTTCCAGCCCATTAATGCAGGGAATTTTGAGCAGTGGAAAGAAGATGAATTTGGGGCAGACAGATGTGCATTCCCTTTTTGGCTCCACCATGTGTCAGTTGTGAATGATTGTTTCCTCTCGGCATTGTTTCCATCTATAAATTTGTGACTTCTATGTGGCAGTACTGTTGTGAGGATGGATAAAACTTTGATTTCACTTTCCCATTGATCTCTATCCCTGTTCTGTAATTTCTCAGGGCAGTAATCAATTCTGAAAAATCACTGCTAAATGGTTAAATAAAACTAATTTCTGAGTTAGCCAAATTAGTCTTGTTGGTACACGTTTCTTGAACTGCCAAACCTGAGAGAACAACTATATGACCATTGTAATACTGTGGATGGCCTGCCAAGGTAACCCATTTCAGGACACATCTAAGCTGTGGACTGAGAAAGGCCAAGATTTCTCTACCGACATTAAAAAAAAAAAAAAAAAAATGCGCAAGGAAACTTATAGGCCACAGGAAAAGTTTCTCAGAAACTTAGAAATGAGCTTGGTTTTCACAAGGCAAAATGTTTATGTGACTTTAAAGCAATTCTGAAGAAAAATACCATACCTTTATTGATATGGCTGTTTCTTTCCAGTATATTTGTAAACACAAAGACAATATGAAGAGACCTTGTCTTTTGTAGAGTTTTGACCCTGCACCCCCATTTTCTAAACAAATGTTAAATAGCTGAAGTACAATTTCTCTGTTACTGAGGAAGCAGGGACATTGCTTAATCTCCTCAGGAGTTCAACACAGCCTTGTTTTCTCCACATATCTCTCTCCTCAAGTCCTGAGCATAAACTGTTCAGATGCTTTGGCGATGATATGGGCTCTGCTTCCATAGGAAAGGTGAGGTGAATGTGAACCCCACCCCTCTACTTCAAGGGACTTCTTTTCCTTCTCTTCAAACTTCCTTCAGCCAAAGTGTACACTGGATCATGTACTTGGTTGCGTAGTACTAGCCAAATTCAAGTCTTGGCCCTGTCAAACCTGCTTCTTGGGGATAGCCTCCATCAGTGACTTCCTGGCTTTTCAGATTCTGAAAGACCATCCCAGCTGAGTTCCCTGTGAGCCATAGGGCCTGCACTGAGACACAACAGTTGGGCAGCTTCCTCTGTCCCTTCCTTACATTTCTTCTCCAGCAGGTGCTGAGCTCAAAAAACACTTCTTCATTAGCATGCTAATCTGTTTGAGCCTGTTTTTTGAGGAACAACCTGTGACTACTGTGTTCCAGATGTTACTGATTTGTTATTTTAAAAATTTGAGTAAATTTAAAACCTATTGAGATGTATTTCAAGTTTCAGAATATGGTATATGTTAGTAAGTGTTCTGAAGTGCTTGAAAGAGTGCTGCTCTTTTTGGGTGGAGTGTTCTAGATCATCCTGGATTATTTAGGTATGCCCCGTGTAATCACATAGGTCCATTAAATGTGGAAGGAAGGAGAAAAACATGAAATAAGAAGGACTTGGCTGGACACTGCTAGCTTTCCACATGGAAAGGGGCCATTAGCCATGGATTATGGTGACCACTAGCAGCTGGAAAGGCAAGTGAGCCCCTAGGTTCATCAGAACCTCCAAGGAACACAGCCCTTCCCATTCCTTGACTTAAGCCCAGCGAGACCCATTCTAGATTTCTGACTTCTAGAGTAGTAAGATAATAAATGTATGGTGTTTTAAGCCAGTGGATTTGTGATTTGTTACAGCACCAGTAGGTATTCTTCAGGTTATAGCTGTAAAACTGAAGAATATGGAAAACAACAACCCCTAGGGAGAAAGGAGGACACTGGGTGGATGGGGGTGTGGGGGCAAAAGCAAACAATGAGTCCTCCGCTCTGGACTTTCACCCTTTCCCAGCAACAAAATGGGTTTCAAACTTTTGCAATTGTTTCCCTGATTTAGGCTTTGAACTTGCACAACTGTTTTCCCCCTGACTGCCCAAACAACATACTCTGCAAATGATTCAGATCTCACGTGTTATGATCAAAACCTCACTAAAAAAATTAAAAAATCATGCTATTCCCCTTCTCCCTCTTTCCTGCCTACCCCTATTCCCTATCTAGAGGTATAGCATGGATGGTGAAAGGAGACCCTCATCATTATACAAAATATATGTATGAAGATGTGAATTTGTATACCTTATATACAAGCAGAGATATGATAAATTGTGGTATAAAGGTGTATTAAGGATTGAAATGCAAAAACCAATAAGAAAGCTCATGTATAATGGCATAATTTTGCGTGAACATACTTTATATAATATACAGAGTTATGAAAAATGGTGTTGTGAATGGATAATTATGATCGTAATGCATTCCACTATTGTCATGTATGTAAGAAATACAAAAATTTTAAAAAAATTTAAAAATCAGACCCCTCCTGTAATCAATTGTCATTTTCTCCTCTGAAACTGTGCCATTCTGCTGCTTAATAAAGAAGGCTTGCTGATCTGTTGAGGTCTGTTCCCCAATTTGGTTATTTTTGCTTTCAGAAACTAATACAGATAATGCAGGTTTTGTCTTTACAAGTTAGGTCTGGGTCTTTTGTCAATTTTCACACCTCTATTTAACAAGTTCAGTCTTTTCCCTGGTTTCCTGATCACAAGGGAGTAACAGTAATTAAGTAATGTCCTCATCTCCAAATAATAGCAGCTGTGATATTTTTGGTTTTAAATAGATTTTTATCCTTATTGGGGATTGTGTTTTTCTATTGTTTTGCATTTGATTAGATTTCAAATTCAAATTTTTTACCTTATTGGGTGCTAGAAATTTTTATAATTCTTGTAGTCTTAAGCATTGGTCTGGGATATGGTTATTTGGAAATAATTTGATCTTTTTAGGCCTTGCTTATAAGCTTTGTAGGACTCAAGAGCAGTTCTTAGTTTGGGACTATTTTCCTCACTAACATGGCAATATACTTGTGAGTTTTTGATTCTATGTGAATTGTGCATTTTTCTACTCTGGTTGTGAGCTCTGAGGATTGTTCCCTCCAATTATTTTGGGGTGGTTCTTTCCCCAGTCTCAGGTAGTTTTCCTCCCTTACCTGGTAGGTACTCTACTGAATGAGGACCCTCTGCTAAGCTGGAGTATAGTGTCTTCTCTGACCATTCTACCTTGAATACTGTGGCCACCCCTGAATACCCAGAACTGTCTGCTCAGCTAAGGGGCACTAAGGGTGTTCTGGCACCACAGTTAATAATCTAGGAATCACCCTATTTAATTCCTGTCTGCAGGACTACAATCTTAGCTGCTGATGTCCAATATTTTAAAGGACTGTTGTTTTAATATTTTGGTCCAGTTTTAAAATTATTGCTGGTGTGAGGGTAAACCAGTTACCTAGTGCTCTATCTTGGCCTAAAGTGATAGTTCCATTTTACTTGTTTGATGTCAGCAATACTGTTACTAACTAGTGTTCTTTTTTTCATTCCTAATACTGGGATTTTGTGTCTTTTCACTTTTTTTTCCCCCCATTCGTTGGTTCTTGTCTTAATTTGTCAGCTCAGGAACCTGTAACAAGATATTACAGATTTGGTTGCTTAAAGAACAGACATTTATTTTCTCATAGTTCTGGAAGCTGAAGTTCAAAATCAAGGTGCTATCAGGTCTGTCTTCTGATGAAGCCTTCCTTCCTCTGTGAACATGTGGTGAGAGGAGATTTTTGAAATTTCTTCCTCTTTTTATGAATATCATTATAGAATTAAAACCTCATATATGTTAATTGTCAGGCGTAGGTTTACTGTAGCCAGCTAGGTAAAGTTGATTAATTCTGCCTTCAAATTTTGTGTTTGTTCTGAACACATTTCCACAATGCCTTTTAGTTTCTCTGAAGTAAATGTTCATTAATTTGATAGAAAAGTTATTCCAGGTTATAATTGTTGGTACTATCAAACTTTGGTACCTCATTTGTCTTTTTTTTTTTGATACTGGGGATTGAACTCAGGGATACTTAACCACTGAGCCATAACCCTGCCCTTTTTTAATTTTATTCATAGACAGGATCTAAGTCTAAGTTTCTGGGGTTGACTTTGAACTCTTTTTTTTTTTTAATTTAATTTAATTTAATTTTTTTTATTTTTTTATTGGTTGTTCAAAACATTACAAAGCTCGACTTTGAACTCTTGATCCTCCTGTCTCAGCCTCCAGAGCCAATGGGATTACAGGTGTGCACCACAGCTCCTGGCCCTCATTTGTCTTTATTAAAATGAATAATGAACACATAATTGAACAACACTTCTTGTTGGCATTGCACACCATGAAGCATGGAATCAAATTTAATACATATTATTTAGAATTTAATGGGATGAATGTTATTTGTATTTGTTCATTCCAAACCATGTTAGTGTTGTCCTGTCAACATACAGAAAGGAAAAGACTTATAAAATGTATACAGGTGTGCCAGATGGAGAATAGACATTAAAGTGGTTTTAAAATCTCCACTTACACTGGATGTGGAGGTTCATGCCTATATTTCCAATGACTTAGGAGGCTGAGAAAGGAGGGTTGCAAGTTTGAGGTCAGCTTCAGCAATTCAGCAAGACCCCATCTCAAAAAATAAAAAGGGCTGGGGGATGTAGCCTAGAGGTATAGCACCTCTGGGTTTAATCCCTAGTACCCAAAACAAACAAGAAACTTCACCTAATATCTGGCACACGTTTATGTACATTTTATAATGTGAAAACCAATGAACTATGAAAAAGTAGTTTTACAATTAAAAATGTATGTAAGGGATTCATGAACCAGTCAAGTAATATTTGTATAGGATAACCTTAGACTTTTAAAGGTCAATCGTAGTCATCTGTTAGACATAACAGGAGAAAGAAAAATGTTAAAATTTTATTTCTGAAATGCTTTATTCTTTTAATCAGTATACATTATATTAAGTATAGAATTTCCTTAAAAATTAACAACTCTTGGGTTTCACTGTTAGGACATTGTTTTAGAAAGGAAAATATCTGGCTCTTTTGACTTTTCTTTTTAACATTTATCCAAGCTCCAAGTGGATTATCATATTAAGGTTCTTCTGTGTTATTTCTGTCCAAGTTGTGACAGCTAAAACAAAACACAAAATTATAACTTAAAAAAAAAAAAAATCACAAAGAATGGTTATGCTTTCAAATATACCTGTAAACACCCTAAGAAAATTCACTTTCATCACAGTAAAATTTAGGTTTCCTATTTGATTCACTGCATTCCTAAAATAATAATAATAAACTTTAATAACTGAATTAAAAAAAAAAACAACCCTGGGGCTAGGGATGTGGCTCAAGCGGTAGCGCGCTCGCCTGGCATGCGTGCGGCCCGGGTTCGATCCTTAGCACCACATACAAAGATGTTGTGTCCGCTGAAAACTAAAAAATAAATATTAAAATTCTCTCTCTCTCTTAAAAAAAAAAAAAGAGTAGAAAAAAAATAAGAAAATGTAAAGGAAAATATCTTAACTTTACTGCTGATAGTTTTCTTCTTCATGTGTATTTCTAAAGTAGATCATGAAAAACAGAAGTCAAGTCTTTCAATTCTGGAAGGCTGGGTACAACTCCTATTGGACTAACTTTCCCAGATATAAAAATGATAAACTTAAACCAAATGTAAAAATCAACTAGCCAAAGGCAGTGGACAGCAACTAGAAAAGAGTCACCACCTAGAAGGAGGGAATAGCCCTGACTGATTCCCTGGTTTTGTGGTTCTCAGCTGGAGTCAGGCCCCAGCTGGTGTTATACTGGGGAGTTAGAACTGTGAGAGAAAACTGGCAGTCCTTCTTGCCTGGAAGAATCAGAGTGTGCTTAAGGCAACTAAAGAAACTGGAAAGTGAGGGGGGATCCTGGAAAGGAGGGAGAGAGAGACAGATGGGAATGAAATCCTTAAATTCTGTGTAGACATTTCCTAAATCTATCATGAAACCTGAACTTCTCATAAATGGGAGAGACTAAGAAGTCAGGATTTGAGATCCTGTCCAAGAAAACAGTTTGAAGTGAGTCCAATCAAGGTAACTGCCTATCTTCAAATCAATATTCTTAAGAGAAACAGAATTCAGTCTTCAAAACAGAACATTTATAAAGTTAAGAACATAATGTAATGCTAATCAATATATGAAGAAATAGAAAAATGTGCCCCATACTCTAGAGACAACCAATTGTGACTGGCAGGGAGATGATCTTTATGTTGTAATTTAACAAGGTTTTAAAAGCAGCTCTAACTACCTTCAATGAAGTAAAGAAAAATATGCTCCCAAAGAATAAAAAAAATATCAGCAGAGAAAATGAAACAATGCAAAAGGAACCAAATGAAAATTCTAGAATTGATAAGTATCTCCACAAGACACTAATTAAAAACAACTAAGTCAATGGCAGAAAGATAGTAGAGGGAAAGGAAAGGTGAAGTACTGAGACTAAGTCAGAACAAATTATATTCTATGCTTTTATAATTTTTCCAAAATGAATCCTATTTTGTATAACTAAAAAGAACCAATTAAAAAATATTGCGGGGCTGGGGTTGTAGCTCAGTGGTGGAGCACTTGCCTCACACATGTGAGGCAATGGATTCAATCCTCAACACCACATAAAAATAAAGATATTGTGTCCATTTACAACTAAAAGATTAAAAAACTGCAACATAGAATTGACAAATACATTATAAAAAGCAGAAGAGAGACAATAAAAGACTTAGAGCAATATAAATTGTACATTCTGAATAGCAGAATTCTTAGGGATCTGTGGGACAACATATATGCCAAACACACAGTCCTACAATAATGCATAATGATGGGTCTATGTTCTGAAAAATATATCATTAGGTGGTTTCATCATCATGAAAACACCAACGATGTAAACTTAGACAAATCTGGTCTGAGTGGTACAACCTCCTATATGCATACCCAGGTTATTTGGTAATGCCATTGCTACTAGGCTACAAACCTGTACATCAAAACAGAAAAAAATACAGTAAAATAGTATAAAAGATAAATGATGTGCCTGTATAGGCCACTTTCCATAAATGGAGCTTATAGGACTGGAAGTTGGTCTGAGTGAGTGAAAGCTCAGAACATTATTGTACACTGTTGTAGACTATAAACACTATGCCTTAGGCTACATTAAATTTCAACACTTACTATCAGAATCAAGTATATAATATACATAACCATATGTGCTAAATATTATGAGTGGCAGTGCAATAGGTCTGTCTACACAGCACCACAACACTTACCTAATGTGCTGCATTATGATGGCTCTGATATCACTTGATGATGGGAATTTGTCAGCTGTGTTATAATCTTATGAGAGCACAGCTGTATTATATTGTATACATGGGCTGTTGTTGACTAAAAAATCATTATGTGGCTAGTGAATATGTAAAAGGAGTCCTAAAACGAGAAAGAAAATTGGGCATAAAAATATTTGAAGAAAAAAATGTCTGAAAATTCCCTAAATTTAGTGAAGATATAAACTTAGCCAGGAAATTTATACCCAGTTTTCCCCAACCAAGACATATATGTCATACTCTTCAAGAGTATGACCTTATAGTTTTACTGAACTCTGAATGACTGTTGACTTATCAGAAAAAATGAAGGCTGGAAGACAGTAAAATATCTCAAGTCTATACAGCAAAACTAACACTGAAGAGTAAAGGTAAAATAGATATTTTCATAATAGGAAATTAAGAAAATTCACGGCTAGCATACCTGAGACATGGTAAATTCTAAATGATGTTTTTCAGTCAATATAGAATTTAAAATTTTTTGGAAACAGAAGAAAATGGAGAGTCATAAATATCTGTATAAAAGCAAAGGATTTGTTTGTCATCATTTTTGCCTCAGTTGTGTATATCACTGTCCATTGTCTTGTGAAATTACTGGTGTATACACATGTAAAATATGGGAGAATAGTTCTATAGTTGTAAGGTTTCTAAATTTAGTGCAACTGGACAATATTAACTCTAGTCTACAAATAGTTAAAGATGCATATGGCAGTTGCTTTAGAGATCATACTGAATTAATATTGCATAGATGTAGCTTAAAAAAATTCCGTAGATGAATTACAATGGAATTCTAAAGTTTTCAAAAATCCAAAGGAAGCATGTAAGGAAAAACAGAAGAATCCTAAACAGGAGACTAAAAGAAAAGCAAATAGTAAAATGGTAGACATAGACTCTCAGTAATTACATTAGATGGTAATTACTGAGAGTCTAAGTAATTAAAGACTCTAATTAAAAGGTAGACACTTCAGAATGGTTAATTTAAAAAGTTCAACTATATGCTGTCTACAAGGTAAGTTGAAAATAAATAGGTGGAAAAAGTTTTAACATTGCTACTCTAGCCTCTTATGCTTACCATTTGCAATGTTAATATAAGATAAAGTAGACTTTAAGTCAAAGAGTTTTATTAGATATGTAGGGAAATACCACATAATGATAAAAGTGGCCATTAGAAAAATGATGAATCATAAAATGTGTATATATCCAATAGCCCAAAATACAGAAATGGATAGAAGTAAAGGGAGAAAGAGAATTCCACAATCCTATTTGGCAATTTTAATAGCAGATGATAGAAAGGACTCACCCTCCAAACCAAAACCAGAAAGCACACTTCAAACTAACAGAGAAGCTGAGCAATGCTCAGATACCCTAACCAAACTGATATTTACAGAACTCTATACATAACTTCTGTAGAAACTCATTCTTTAAGAGTATATGGAATGGTTGGCAAGACAGGCCTATATGTTAGGCCATTTAAAGAAATTTCAATACATTTTAAACTGAAGTTATGTAGAAAGTGGTCTACAACTACAAGGCACTATTAGGTATTTATAAAACCCTGGAATATAAGAACAGTATTATAAATAATACTTAGAATAAATCACAAGGTAAATTACAAAATATTTAAAAGTGATAATGAAAATAAAATAAAAATTTGTGGAATATGCTTAAGTATTATTGTTTGGCATAAATTAATTTTAAGGCTATAAATGCTTATTTTAGGAAAGAACTAAAGTTAATAAGTTTTCAACTTAAGCTAGGAAAAAAGTTAATAGATTAGAAATAGAAAACAAATGAGAATAGTAACAAAGGCAACATCTGGTTCATTCAAATGGTAAACAAATTTGAGATTCCCCTTGTTAACCTAAATAAGACAAAAATTTCATTTATTGGGAAAAATAACTAAATAGACATTTCTCAAGAAGAAACAATGGCCAACAAATAAACATGAGAAAATGTTCAACATCTCTAACAATGAGGGAAATGTGAATTAAAACTATACTAAAATTTTATCTCACTCCAGTCAAAATGGGTATAATCAATTATGGGTCAGCATCCCAACTGAAAGCTAAGATCAATATAAGATTGTTAGTGGCAACAATCCTAAAAGGACCATGTGGACAATCAATATGCCTCAGTTATTGCAGTCATTAACTTTAAAGGTGAACATAGTTTTCCTGTATCAACTGAACATATGTTATTGCCCAGAAGTTACTTCATTTCTCAGGCCCAATCTATGACACTCTATCACAAAATCAGATATATGGAAAGCTGAATTGAATTTTGCCTAAATAAGTACACTACTCCAATTTTAAATTTTGTCAATTTGCCTTTTCATAAATAATTGGAATAATGAAAATGTTAGTTAAAACAAATTTTTGAGTTCTACAGTTTTCAACTGGTCCAGATGAATAAATAGTTCTCTTTCTCTTGAAAAATATCAATGGTAACTTAAGAGAAACAAACTAAAAAAGGTATACTTTACCTGTTTTATAAACTGTGAAGCATTAAAAAGCTCACTGCAGCCATATAAAATGTGTTTGCCTTGCTTCCCCTGTAAAAAACAGAAATCATGAATAAAAACTCAGATCCAAGTGAGTAACAAATACATTTTCAGTTTTCCTATGAAAAAATATTAACTTGCTAGGACTTTTTTTGTTGTTAGCTTTGTGAGTGGTGTTGCTGAATTTCAGTGTACATGTGTATCCTAAAATTGCATGAAATAAAGAGGGATAAAGTGGTAAAATAGGCATAAGAATGATTTATTATACTAAAAATAGGAGTATGATCACATTTCATAGGATCAACAATTATCCAAAAAAATCTGAGACCACAACATTCTTTTAAAGATCTATGCTACTTGAAGCAAAATATTAATTTGGTTATGTTTAGCATAGTAGGATATGATGCAGGTAGTACGGACTGTAATTTCAGTCTCACTAGTGCAATAGTATTTACATGTTAATAAATATCCTGTTCCACTCTGAAACTCTTATTTTATTTCCACAGAATGTTGGAACCTAATTACAACACTGAAACTTCTCCACTAGAAAATGCAATTCCTATATGTATTGTGAACTTGAAGTTAAATTCATAAGATTTCTTTTGTAATGTAAAAAGTTTATCCCACAAAGTAATTTGATAATGCAACAAGGAATAAAAAAAAATTGGCTTTGTTATATAAGAAAAGGACATTTCTGTGATGTGTAAATAAACATAACTGCTTGCCTTATATGAAGTGAGAATAAAAATAATAAATGAATAAAAAAATAAATAAAAAATGAATAAATGTCCTAGATGGCCGTCTATAAAGGGAAAAAACAAAAGCTACACCTTAATTATAGTTTTAGGCTGGGTGTGGTGGCGCACGCCTATAATCCCAGCTATTCAGGAGGCTGAGGCAGGAGGATCACAAGTTCAAAACCAGCTTCAGCAACTTAGCGATGCTCTAAGCAACTTAGCAATGCTCTAAGCAACTCAGCAAGACTCTGTCTCAAAATAACACAAAAAGAGCTGGGGATAAAGCTCAGTAATTAAGTACCCCTGGGGTTCAATCCCTGGTACCCCCCCATTCCCCCCTCCAAAAAAAACCTTTACAGTTTTAGAAAATGAGATGGTACATGCAGCAATTACAGAAGGTCATATAACTAGGATTCTTGAGGCTATAGAGAACATAAATGAGCTATTAATAAAGGCAGAGATTATAGTATAGAAGGAGAAGGCAAGCCCAAGAAAACATCAGAGGGGTTCAACATTTCTAGGACAGATCTCAGGATGTTATCTCAGTAGCACAAGACTCATCATTTTTAACTGTTAACTATCAAGATACATTCTAGATACACTTGTATCCTACATACATATTGGGAGTTCATAATCCAAAGATAAAGTGTGTCCTGGCAACGATCCTGGGAGTTGCACTGATCAGGTTTTTTTTGGTGGTGGGGTGGTACTAGGGATTGAACTCAGGGGCAGTCAGCCACAGAGCCACATCCCCAGTCCTATTTTGTACTTTATTTAGAGATAGGGTCTCACTGAGTTGCTTAGTGCCTTCCTGTTGCTGAGGCTGGCTTTGAACTTGAGATCCTCCTGCCTCAGTCTCCAGAGCCACTGGGATTATAGGAGTGCACTATCGCTCCCAGCAGCACTAATCAGTTTTGGAGGTCTGTTTTTTCTTCCTGTTATACCTTGATCTCTACCTTACTAGAGCCTTATATGAAGTGAGAATAAAAATAATAATCATCATTTTCTAGTGTTAGGTGAATAAATTAAGATTACAAAATGTCATTCTAAGAATACTTTGTTTTAGTTTTTTTCTGTCACTTCCTGCTATGTTACCCAGCCGGTCCCGAAATTCTGAGCTTGAGAAACCTCTTACCTCAGCCTCTTGAGTAACTGGGACTTATTGGTATGTGCCACTCTGCTTTGCCTATATGCAGGATTTTTTTTTTTTTTTTAAATAAAGCTGTTTTAATTTATTTATTTTATTTTTTTTAGGTGGACACAATATTTTTATTTTATTTTTATGTGGTGTTGAGGATTGAACCCAGCGCCCGCGCATGCCAAGTGAGTGCACTACTTAAGCCACATCCCCAGCCCTATATGCAGGATTTTTAAGTGATCTCTTAGAAGAGTAGTTACGTAAAGGTCAGGACAGCCACCAAAGAATGCTGTGCTCTAAAGATATAAAACTAAAACTATCCCATGATAGAATAAGAAGGCCAAAACATACCTTTATGTAGTCAACAAGATTTTGATATTCTATGTAGTTGCCTCCTCCCACCACAAAAACAATTGCCTACAAATGCAAACAAAAAACTAAATTGAAAGAAATAGTTAAAAACATTGTTATAATTTTCAAGTAACATGGTTTTTAGTCTGAAACCTATTCTACAATTGGGACAAAAACACTAGCTAGCCAAAGGCCACAGCTGAAGCATCTAATGGTATTTAATTAAGAAATTTCTAAAAAGTTTATACATTTATAAATTTTAATGCTTGTTCAGTGGTAAAATGAGACAAAGTTTTCAGAAACAATTTAAAGATAACTTCTTTTTTTAGTACCAAGGATTGAACCCAGGAGTGCTCAACCACTGAGCCACATTCCCAGTCCTTTTTTATATTTTATTTAGAGACAGGGTCTCCCTGAGTTATTTAGGGCCTCACTAGGTTGCTGTGTCTGGCTTTGAACTTCTGATCCTCCTGTGCTGCTGGGATCACAGGCATGCACCACTGTGCCCAACACTAGAGATACTTATTATTCTTCTAATAAGTAATAGCAAATAAATCCAAAGGGCTTTCTTCAAAGGATGCTTTTCAGTTTGCAGTTATTTACTATAGGCAGGAAAATCAGAAAAACCAGCATTTATATAATTTTCTATGTATGTTATTTACTGTATTTGCTGAGAAGTCTATTTGCATTTTAAATTAAAGCAGTCTTCACAAATGCATGGAATCCAATTTTATAAGCTCCACACTTAGAAAATTTTCACTGCAATCTGCAAGCCTTCTTTTTTGGCAAATTGCATAAGTTTCAGCCACTTTAAAGCTTCAATATAATAAGTATAAATAGTTTTATAAATCAGGAAAATACAGTTGCTGAGAATTAAAAAAATCTTGGGGTACAGAATTGGATTTATCCAAATCACCATGCACTAATCATATTAGCCATGTTTATGACAAATTATTGTTCAGGTTACCTTTTATCTTTTCTAGGAGCACAGAATTTTCATGTGAAACTTACCTCCTGAAATGGATTTTTGTTCCTAGGAACTGAGCTGTAATAGAGAAAAACTATACTGAAAATCTCACTCATGGCTTTTATTATGGGTAAAACAGGTATGGGAAATACCACATTAACATATACTCCAGAGGTATGTTAGGCATTTACAGTTTTACCTCCTCTTTCTCAAGAGGGTAGTGGGTACTTGAGTTCTGCAGAGGAAGAAGCCAGAAAATGTAGAATACGTGTCTAAAAGGGAATGGGCATCCTATTGACTTTGAAATAAAATTCTAGAAAACTGAGGAGCAGAGGTCCCTGAATATATGCAAGTATTTTGGTGGTAAATTTCAACATACTTCAAATTTCATTTATGTTGTCTATGGGTATCTATATTTGCAGAAAAAATGAATAAACACCTATAAGATAACATAGGAAGAAAAAAGAAAATGGCAAGAGGGATCTGTATTTTGCAGTAAATTATATTTTCTTTATTACATTATTATATATTTAAAAATATTTCATTGATATCTAGAGATCTTTAATAAGGACATTTTTTCAAAGTTTTTGTGTATCAGATACATATTTGAGTGCTAAAATAGGCTGTACAGTGTGATTAACAAGGATAGTTGAAACTTTTCTCAATTACTCAGTGGCTAAACATAGCTCTATCACCTTTCCTAACATCTTTAGTCTGTCTAAATATTCTGTCAAAGTGGTTAGACATCTACCTGATCAAAATGCCTCCTAAATGCTTAACTTCCTTCTAATTCTGCCTCCTTCCCTCCTAATTCTGCCCATTTTTTCTATAATTTATAAGCTATTTTTTGTATCACCATGAATTAAATCTTGAAAAATATCTGTAATAAACAAAGGCTACCTTACTATATCATGCCTGTCATAAAATACAAAAATTCTTTATAGAATGTTTCACTGTCAGCAAGTGTTTTTATAGCAATGGTTCCCAAGAATTGGATTTTGTAGGAGCTACATTAAAAAAAACAAAACAGTATCCAAATATAAAGCTCCTTTCTCTTCATTTGGTCTGATAAAAATATTCTTAAAACACACATTATCCCAATTTCCCTCCCCTACACTTAGTTTGTAATGCCAAAAGCCCCCCCAAATAAGAAAACCCCCAAACAAAACAAAACAAACAAACACACACCTCAAAACAAAAACCCAGTAAACAGCTACATGTATTTGTATATATACTTGGAGGGAAAAACAACAAAATACTATCTTTAATACTATCTTTGAGAGATTAGCACACATATTGCTTCCTTTCCAGTTTTTCCACACAGTTTAAATTTTTAATATTAAGCAGTGCTGCTTTAGAGTACAAAACCAATTATTTTCATTCTTGGGAAATCCTACAACATATTACAGAAGACAGAAACTGTTTACCTGTCATTGCCACGTAGCATTTTGGGATCGAAATATCTGTAGTCGTCAGTTTCCTATTTAAAAACAAAAAAACCTTGACAATGGAATTTTTCTTTAGAAGTTCTGGCATACGGTTATCTTATATTCATGAATCTATCAATTTTGTAGCGTGTACAACAACCACCCCTAACATTTAATGAGTAGTTACAATGTGCTAAGCATCATTTAAGTGCTTTATGTGAAATTACTCATTTAATCCTGAGTTTCTCAAGTAGCTACTATTACTATCCCCATTTTTCAGATTGGCAAGTTGAGGGGGGACTGAGAGGTTCCTAAGGTTACATATGTAATAAGTACGGGAACTCTAGCATTGGCAACAAGGCAGTTTCAATGTCCAAGCTCTACTCTCATGCTATAATGTTTCTCAAAAATAAGTCTGAAAAAAAATAAGTATTATAAGTCTTAAAGTAGTTAATGTACTGAAGTATTTTTGTTTTTTAGAATTTTATCTGTATAAATTTTATCTCATGATTTTACCGAATATATGGAATACCTAACACAGGTACACATCTCTTATCTGAAATTTTTGGAGTGATATGTATTTCAGAGTTTAGGATTAAAAAAAATTTAGATAGGTAATATCAGGCATAAACTACATATAATATGGGTAGCACTTCATCATCAAATATGTTAATACTTCTATTTCTACATATGTGAACATTAACAGAAAATAGGATAAATAAAAACTATAAAGAGCCTCAACTGGAGTCCAGGTCAGATTTTGCCACCAAATGAGTTATACAGAATCTTTTAGTTTTCAAAGCTTTTTGGATTTTTCAGAAATTGTGAATAAGGGGTTGTGGACCTCTATATTATACTGGAAACTTAACGCCTTGATTAAAGAAGTTGGAAAGTATTGCTCTATTACTTATTGAATAATGACTTTCCATTCTCTGCCTGCCTCTCCTTCCATAGCAGAATCATCCAGAGAAATTAATCTTTTCTTCTTCTGGAGTGTGGATGGTTTCACTAAAACCTGATAAAGTACAGATATACTACATGTGTTGCTATTATTTAGTCCCGCATTCAATGGAGATACTTTCAATCAACCACAGCACCCTCAGTAAACCCAAATGTAGTGTCAGAATCCTCCAAGTAGTTTGCTTCAAGAAACCACTACCAACCAGATTTACAAGGCAAGAATAAACCTATCTGATATCTTGCCTTAACTTTATTAAGACAAAGGAGAATAATAAATGTCATAAGAATGCATCTAAAAATAGGTAACAGCATTTTAAAACATTTGAGATAGGATACATTCAAGATTACCTGCCAGGTCTAACTTAGTACACTTTGCTATCTCTTCAGCATTTTGCTAATCTCCTCAGTGCCTCCAAATCAACTTGTCCATCTGGGAACAGGAGAGGTATAAGAGTGCAGGCAGCTACCTCACCTAGCAGATGGATGAAGAAATGCTTTCAAAACAGAAAACATTTACTTTTTCTAATTAAAGTATCTGTCTGTAGTAATGTGCCTTCAGTTCTATTGACTTTATAAATAATAAATGAACTTGTAATTACAACTTGGAGAAACATTTAAGACCCACAATTTAGCCATTGATGTGTTTTGCCAGAGAAATGCAGAAGGATTGTGTATGCTGGGATGAGTACTAGACTGGAGGACAATAGTAGGATTTTTATTGTAATTCTGCTACTAAAAAGGTGTGACCTGGCAAGTTACTTAACCTCTCTAGGTTGCCTTGCCTCCATTGTTAAAATGATTTAGGATGTTTCCTTAAACTCTATTTCTGTGATTCCATGAAGGCATGGTTCTTACCCTAATCAACAAAGTATAATGGTAGACAATTTGGCTTGTGGTTAAAATTCCAATGCTGCCACATACTAGCTGTATATCCCTGAGCAAGTTTAATGACCTTATTGTGACTTAGTTTCATCATCTATAGAAATGAGAATAAAAATAACAGTACTCTTCTTGGAAGGTTCTACTGAGGATTAAATGATATAACAGGTGAAAAATGCTTTGCATGGTTCTCGGTACTTAATAAGTATACAATATCTGATAATACTTAATAAGTATGCAATAATGTTAGGTGTTAATTTTGTGGTCATTATTTTTCATGTCAACATCAAGGGCAATAACAAAATATCATAATTTCCCTTAACCTCTTGTATATTTGGCTATCTAAATGTTTATATTTTTAATCTTTATTACTGTTTGGAATAATATGTTCCAGCAGTTTACTGCCCATTACAAAGCAGTATTCTCTGATACAGTCATTAATGTCTCTCTTAGGCTTTTCAAGAAGTACTACTTGAGGGGGGATAGTAGAGGATAGGAAAGGCAGCAGAACACAACAGACACTAGTATGGCAATATGTAAATCAATGGATGTGTAACTGATGTAATTCTGCAATCTGTATATGGGGTAAAAATGGGAGTTCATAACCCACTTGAATCAAAGTGTGAAATATGATATATCAAGAAATTTGTAATGTTTTGAACAACCAACAATAAAAAATTAAAAAAAAAAAAGAAGTACTACTTCTTCATATATTCTAGGATACGGTGACAGTCTACTATTACTATTACTATATTATATACCACTATTATCTATATTGATTCCAAAATGAAAGAATTTAATCCTCTCAGGTTATCCTTACAGATAATTCTTCCATTCTTTTCATAATGATAATTGCTGTTGGATATTTTATTAGGCTATGTTTTCACATGACTGAAATTTAAAATTTTATTTCTGTTAATTTCTTTTAATGTTACTGAAATAATATTTATAATTACCAAAAAAGTCCCATTGATCTGAACATTCTATTCTCATTCTTTTTCCTTTTTTTCCAGGGCTGAGGAGTGAACTCAACCTAGCTTGTGCATGCTAGGCAAGTGCTCTTGCCACTTGCTAAATCCTAAACCCCCTCATTCCTTTTCAAGTCTGGAATTGTGTGCCTCACTGCCAAGTCTACAATGATTCACATCAACCCAAACTGGATTTATTTATTTTTTTTATATCTTGGGGATTGAACTCAGGGGCACTCAACCACTTAGCCACATCCCCAGTCCTTTTTTGTATTTTATTTGGAGATAGGGTCTCACTGAGTTGCTCAGAGCTTCACTAGGTTGCTGAGGCTGGCTTTAAACTTGTGATCCTCTTGCCTCAACTTCCAAGCTGCTGGGATTACAGGCATGTGCCACTAGGGTTTGGATGAGGGTAGGATCATGCTGCCATTTATTTATTTATTTATTTTATTTGGTACCTGGGATTGAACCCGGGGGCACTTAGCCATTGAGCCACATCTCCAGTTCCTCCCCTGTCATTTAAAAATTTTAAATTTTGAGACAGGGCCTTGCTAACTTGCTGAGGCTAGCTTTGAACTTGAGATCCTCCTGAGCTGCTGGGATTACAGGCATGTACCATCACACCCAGCTTCCATGTGTTTTTCTTTATCCCAGACTCTAGCCATAGTATCAGGGTAGTTATTTTTACCAAAGAAATTCTGAGGACTTTTGTATTTCTTTTTTGAATTGTAAACAGACATCTAGAAAATTATTCAAGTAAATGTGATAATATTTACCAATGATTCCTCTCCCTCAATTTGTTTCTTCAGTCCCAAAGACTTCAGTGCCATTTGAACATAGGCACTTAAAATTTTTACTAAGCATTTCTCTCCTAATTTAATTTTCTTAAACTTAAATTGATCTAATCCTCTTTACACTATACCAACTAGTCCTTTTTCATTTATAGAAACTTGCTCCTTAAGATAAAATTTACATGTAATTATACATACAGAACATAATATACACTTAATTTGGATGGGAGTTGACCAGAATGTTTGTAGCAGTAGAGAAAATCAATTCCCAGTATCTGTGATAATGGCTAACCAGAGCTCTTTTAGAACATGAACTCTTTTCTTTCTCTCATTATTCTGCTATGATTAAGAACACAAGAAATTCAATATGTATCATTACCTTTCCCATTAGCCAGTTTGATACATTCAAGAACTTACAAGTTCAATGTAACATGCTACTCACAGGGTTTGATTTCATCTCCATGAGATTGTCTAAAATACGAGTAACAGGTAGATTCTGTGAAAGAGATTAGTATTTTATTAACAATAATAAACCAAAGTTCCTTTCTACTAACAAGACAACCTAGTAATTTTATAGTTAAGGATTAATCATAATTAAACACATTCTAAGATTAAGTATACTGCAAGAGTTAATGATGTCAGATGTAAATATCCTTGGCACTTAAGTGTCCACAGAAAAATATCATTCTCAATGAAAAGCTTCTTTTAATATGTAGGCGTATTCAGGTTTTAGTAGACAATATGTTTGGGCTTTTTTACTTTGTTGAATATTTGCTTTTCAATATTAGTAACTGCAATCTTTTGTTCTGATCAAGAATATCACTGTTATTTTTTTTTTTTTTCACTTTTCCTTTTGTCAGTTAAGAGTTTTCTTTACCGATAGTTTGAGTTCTTTTCTTATTCTTTTCTCTTTGATTTTTTTCCTTCTAATTGCTCTGGCTAGTTTCCAGGACTATGTTCAAAGAGGGCATCCCTGTCTTGTTCCAATTTTTTGAGGGAATGCCTTGCATTCTACCAGATCATAATGGAATGAAATTAGAAGTCAATGATAAAATAAAACATAGAAGCTACTCTAATGCCTGGAGACCAAATAATACGTTACTGAATGACCAGTGGATAGCAAAAAGTCAGGGATGAAATAAAAAAATACTTAGAGGTAAATAGAATAGCGATACAACATATCAAAATCTCTGGGACATCATGAAGGTAGTTCTAAGAGGAAAGTTCATTGCATTGAGCTCATTCATTAAAAGGATAAAAAGTCACCAAATAAATAACCTAACATTTCATCTCAAAGCCCTAGAAAAAGAATAAACCAACACCAAAAGCAGAAGACAGGAAATAATTAAAATCAGAGATAAAAATCAATTAAATTAAAAAAATTGTACTCTAATAAAATAGAAAATCCTGAAGACATCAACAAATTTCTAGAGACATATGACCTACCCAAACTGAATCAGGAAGATATAGAAAATTTAAACAGATAAATTTCAAGGAATGAAACTGAAGATGCCATCAAATTCCTACCAACAGCTGGGCACGGTGGCGCATGTCTGTGATCCCAAGGGTGTGGGAGGCTGAGGCAGGAGCATTGCTGTCAAAGCCAGCCTCAGCAACACTGAGGCACTATGTAACTCAGTAAGACCCCGTCTCTAAATAAAATACAAAATAGGGCTGGGGATGTGGCTCAGTGGTCAAGTGCCCCTGAATTCAATTCAAAAAGAAAAAAAAAAAAAAAAAAAAGAATGGGATGCTATCACACTAAAAAGCTTCTTCATAACAAAGAAATAACCAAGAGTGTGAAGAGAAAACCTATAGAATGGGAGAAAATCTTTGCCAACTGCACTTCAGACAGTCAGAATGGCAATGATCAAGAATAAAAGTAACAATAAATGTTGGTGAGGATGTGGGGGAAAAGGTACACTCATACATTGCTGGTGGGACTGCAAATTGGTGTAACCACTCTGGAAAGCAGTATGTAGATTCCTCAGAAAACTTGGAATAGAACCACCATTTGACCCAGTTACACCATTCTTTGGCATATACCCAAAGGACTTAAAATCAGCATACTATAGTGACAAAGCCAAATCAATATTTATGGCAGCTCAATTTGCAATACCTAAGCTATGGAACCAGCCTAGGTGGCCTTCAACAGATGTCTTCATAAAGAAAATGTGGTGTATATACACAAGGGACTATTACTCAGCCTTAAAGAAGAATGAAATTATGGCATTTGCGGGTAAATGGATGAAACTGAAGACTATCATGATGTTAATTGGAATAAGCCAATCCCCCCAAATCGAAGACCAAATATTCTCTCTAATATGTGGATGCTAACTTACAATAAGCTGGAGTGAGGGTGGGGGTGGTGAGAAATAGTAGTTCACTGAATTAGAAAAATGCAAATGAAGGGAAGGGAGGGGAGATAGGAACAGGAAAGACAGTAGAATGAATTGGACATAACTTTCTTATATTCATATATGAATACATGACCAGTGTAACTCCACATAATGTCCAACCACAAAAATGGGAAGTTATACTCCATGTATGTCAAATACATTCTACTGTCATGTTTAACTAAAAGGAACAACAAAAAAGTTTTCTTTAGAAATTCAGTAACTTTTAAAAAGTTTGTAAAAATGCAAACTTAATTGATCTAACAGATTTCTTTCATTTCTAATAAAAAGACATTTGTATACTTTGAAAAATGGGGATATGAATACATACACAATTTTATTGACCATTTTTATTTTGCCTAAGATAAATTCCAATTTTTCAATATCATACTGCATTATCTTTTTTACAGAACAAATTTGACTCTGAACATAAAATGTACAACACCAACACTGGTGTTGGCAGAAGTCTGTTCTCTTAACATGCTTATAGGATTTGGGATGAGATATACTATTGTTACATTTCTATCCAACAAGTTTGATTAATTTGAACATAAGAACACCAAGTACAGAAAATTTACTAAATGACTATACTGTCTATTCAAAGTGCATTTCTACTGGGCTGATATTCTGCCTGTTTTGAACTGGTATTTCCTTTGTGAACTGTACAGAATAATCTTCTATTTGAAACTTCACACAACAAAAGCAACATTAAATCTGATTGTTCAAAAAAATGTAACTAAGGATTTAAAACAAGGATTTAAATTTTCTTACGTCATAAAACATATTGTTACTAAAGTGGACTAGCACTAAGGAAAATGCTATTTTCCCTAGAAAAAACAAAACATTTTTTCCCTTTTACTAGATTATGAAGTAAAAATCTTTTAAGATGGTCTCACACAAGTGAAATTAAATTAAAGCTATTTCATAATTTTCTGAAATTTGTGTTGGCCAGGAACTTTTAAATATAAAAGAGAACCATATGTTCAAACTGAATGTATTTCCTGAATAATCTTTAGAATAAATTTAAAAAGGTGGCTTCAAAATTTTACCTTTTTTGTTTCAAAAAAATTGAGTTTGTTCATTTATCAATAGGCCTAGACCATAAATTTCTCTAGGGATGGAGAAAACTATATTAAATATTTGTTTCAAGTAATAAGAACAAAAGATGATGAAGCACTTTGCAACAGTAGAGGAAGAAATAATACATTCTGGAGCAAGGGAACATTACAAATTATTTGGTAAGACTTTAGTAAAATTGAGTTGTTTTTTTTTTAACCCATTTATCTATTTAGACTAACTTCTGTTTAGCATTTTGAATTGCACTATTACAGCTATGCAATGGAGAAAAAAAATCAAAAGATTTCACATATGATAAATCATGAGTCATATTTTATACTTTTGAAAATAATTGGAAATTTGGACACTTAACCAATATTTCATGATAAATCTTCATTTAGTATAAAAATTCCCTAAAGGATGCAATTACATTTTACTTTGTGCTTTATAGTTCTGCTATCTCTTATAACAAGTCTGTCAATAAATACATTAAATAACTTGAGAAAAATTTCTTTCTAGAAAAATTGTTCAAAAATTCAAAAGCCCAGGGACAAATCTTTCTTATATTTTCTCCTGGCCTTTATGATCAGACACTAAATCAATCAACTATAACTGCTGTACCATGTAATATTCACAGACTGCCAGAGATTAAGGGCAACTCCAGTTGAAGAGAATGATAAAGGAAACACATAATGTCTTTTTAAAAAAAAAATATTCATTTTTTAGTTTTCGGTGGACACAACATCTTTATTTTATTTTTATGTGGTGTTGAGGATCGAACCCAGCGCCCCGCGCATGCCAGGCAAGCACCCTACTGCTTGAGCCACATCCCCAGCCCACACACATAATGTCTTTAAAGGGATAAGGAAGAGTACATTAGAAAACAGCTTTTAAGATTTGTCACCAACTGGCACTCTATTCAGCTGTTTTCTTTGACTAAATGAAGGCTTGGGTTAATAATTTTTAAAATAAATTACAGATTGAGAATAATTTACATACAAGTTAATTGACTTTTATTGACGGAAAAACTGGGTTGTAGCATCTTAAGTAATAGAAGAGAGAAAGCATCAGAACAAAACAGTATATCTCTTTTTGCTTAGCAGAGACTGTTATTTTGTTTTTAGAAACAAAATAATTGTGTACCTCAGTAAGATATATAAATGAAATTTAATAAAATGAAAAACATATTAATTGTTTAAAAAATTCCCAAGCATATTTTTCTTTTTTTGGAAATCGCTATTTAGAAATAAAACTGGAAGCATTATTGTAGGTTAGTAACACTAAAAGGATCAACTACTATTAAATTTCTAATAATTAGTAGAAAGCCATTACAGATACAGATTTGAGAAAAAAAAGAGTCCTACACACAAAAAAACCCTAAATTAAGGATCAGTTTTTCTAAAATACTCAAATTTCAAATACATGAACTAGAAATTTATGTATAGAAAAAAATATGGTAGGAAATTTGTGTCTAAAACCCCTGACTTCTTACTTTAATAGTGTTTTGTAATTTTAGTCATTAGAAAAGTTTAGATAAAAATAATGCTAACTTCATCTCTGCTGGGGTTATTGCTTAAAAAACAAAACAAAATATGCAAAAAATTCTAAAAACCAATTTAACAAGTGTCAGCTCTATAACCAAAACAGAACATTTTTTTCCCCTTTGAGTTCTAGAATTAGCCACCTCTTGACCTATATTGCCATCTGCTCTGTGGTGACTATTTCTAACTTTTTGCTCGCATCCCTAGGCTTGGAATGATACTTTGATATGGAGCTGAAAGCAGGGCTGGGACAAGGGTTGCTGCTGTCCTGCATATCAGAACTCTGGAGAATGAAAAGGCACTTCCTTAGGAAGGATGCTTATCTGGAAGGCTTTGATTAGTACAGAATAAGATGGGATGCGAAGACACTGGGAACACTTTGGGAATGAGGCATATATATCAATGCTAGAAGGGTGGAAAGTTGCCAGTGAAGATAGCAGGAGAGGGAATAAGATTGATCATCTCTTTTCAAAAACTGTAAATTATAAAACAGAAGGGAATCTACAGAGCAAACCCAATACTCTTATATTAGAGATGAGGAAACCATAAAACATGTAAGGTGGTTTCCACTCAAAAATCATAGCATGTAATGGCAATAAAAATGAAGAAAACAAATGATACGCAAATTCGTGAAGTGTCCCGTATTTTTAGCAATTAGAGAAATACAAATCAAAACTACTCAAAGATTTCATCTCACTTCAGTCAGAATGGCAGTTATTGTTGCTTATATTCTTAACAATAAATTTTGATGAGAATGTGGGCAAAAAAGGTACACTCAGACATTGTTGGTGGAATTGCAAATTGGTGCAACCGTTATGGAAAACATTATGGAGATTCCTCAGAAAGCTTGGAATAGGACCACCATTTGACCCAGTTATCCCACTCCTCAGTTTATACCCAAAGGACTTAAAATCAGCTTACAACAGTGACGCAGCCTACTCACAATAGCTATAAACTACGGAACACAGGTGCCTTTCAACAGATGAATGGATAAAGAAAATGTGGTATATATACACAATGGAATATTATTCAGCCTTAAAGAAGAATAAAATTATTGCATTCGCCGGTAAATGGATGGAGATGGATAATTTCATTCTAAGTGAAGTAAACCAGTTCCAAAGAACAAAAGAATGAATGTTTTCTCTGATATGTGGACGCTAATTCACAATAAGGGGGTGGGGAGCTAGGGAAGAATAGAGGTACTTTGGATTAGACAGAGGGGAGTAAAGGGAGGGGAGCAGGTATAAGGGAAGGAGGATAGTAGAATGAATTGGGCCTTATTACCCTATGTGCATATATGATTACATGAAGAGTGAGAAATTATACTCCATTTGTGTACAATGTTGTCAAAATGCATTCTACTATCATGTACAATTAGAATAAAAAGAAAAAAAAATGAAAACAGAATTACATAGATCCAACACATCTATCCTTCATTACTCAGCTTCAACAGTGATCTGTAAATCTTATTTGTCTGTACTTTAACCTACTCCTTATTCCCCTAGGGTATTAAAAAAGTTCCCAGCATAAAATTATCATTAAACTGTAAATATTTCAGTAGACATCTCTAAAATATAAACACTTAAAAAAAGACCCATAAAACTATTAAACACACCTAAAAATAATTAACAATATTTTTTTCTCCTCAGCTTTTCTGAGGTAAGATTAACAAAAAACTGTATGTACTAAAAATGTACAATGTGATGTTCTGATATCTGTACACAGCTCAATATCCAGTCAGTATTAAAATTTCCTTTGGCATAAAATAATTTTTTATAGTTTTCTTATTTAAATCATAATCTTAACTAAGAGTCATATATTCCAATTAGATATAGTTTTTAAAAATATACATATGTATATATTTTAGTTGAAGATGAACAAAATACCTTTATTTATTTTTATGTGGTGTTGAGGATTGAACTCAGTGCCCCACAAGCGCCAGGCAAGTGCTCTACCACTGAGCTATAGCCAGCCCCTAGATACAGTTTTTAAGTCTTTTTAATCTGTGGATTCCCATTATTTGTAATTTATTTGTTGGTAATTCATGTTTAGGAGGAGGATTATTTTGGCAAACAAGTCAAAGAAAGTAGAATGAAAAACTTCTAAATTATGCAACTTTGTGCATAATTTCATCACATTACAAATATATTTTGAATCTGTGAATATCATTTAACTGGTTTTATGTGATAGTTGATACTTGTGATGCATAAAACTTATGCTGCTCAGAAAACAAAACATAAAAAACTCTTATAAGTAACCTAGAAAACTGAACACAGATAATCCTACTGTTTTTGTCTATTTTTTTTTTTGGGGGGGTGGTATCAGGGATTAAACTCAGGGGTACTTGACCACTGAGTCACGTCCCTAACCCTATTTTATATTTTATTAGAGATAGGGTCTCACTGAGTTGCTTAGTGCCTTGCTAAATTGCTGAGGCTGGCTTTGAACTCAAGATCCTCCTGTGTCAGCCTCCTGAGCTGCTGGGATTATAGGCATGTGCCACCATGCCCGACCTTCAAAACAATATAATTTTAAGGGGCATAAATTATTCATAATGTTCCAACTGTGAAACTGATGGAACCAATCTCTTAGCTAGATCTTCTTCATTTTTTTTTTTTTGGGGGGGAGGGGGTACCAGGAATTGAACTCAGGGCCACTCAACCACTGAGTCACATCCTGGCCCTATTTTGTATTTTATTTAAGACAGGGTCTCACTGAGTTGTTTAGTGCCTTGCTATTGCTGAGGCTGGCTTCAAACTCCCGATCCTCCTGTCTCAGCCTCTCGGTGCTGCTGGGATTACAGGTGGGCTCTTCTTTTGACACTTCTTACCTCTTAGTTCCCAAATTGCCTCAGAGACCCCCCCCCCCCCCCATTGCCTTTTTTAAGTATTAGGACGTGGTAACTTTTTTTTTTTTAATATTTTTTAGCTGTAGTTGGACACAATACTTTATTTATTTATTTATTTTATGTGGTGCTGAGGATCGAGCCCAGCGCCTCACATGCACTAGGCGAGTATTCTACCATTGAGCCACAACCCCAGCCCCATGACGTTGCAACTTTTAAAATAGATTTCTATGAGTTTAAAATAAATATTTCTAGAACAAGAAGCTTTTTACTGGAGGGTAAATTCATAATATTCATTAAGAACATTTACAAATGTCCACACCCTTATATTTCATAATTCAATTCTAAGAATTTATCGCGTAGGTGTAAGTAATATGAGGTGAATACTCACCCAGAAAAAAACTAACATTTAAAGCTTTGGTATATATCCTTCTGTCCTCTCTATTTTTTCTTTTAAAAACCAACAAAAAGCCAAATGCAGTGGTACACGCCTGTAATCCCAGCAGCTAGTAAACTGAGGCAGGAATAGTATAAGTTCAAGACCAGCTTAAGCAACTTAGCAAGGCTCTGAGCTACCTGGCGAGACCTTATCTCATAATAAAAAATAAAAAGAACTGGGGATGTGGCTTTGTGGTTAAGTGCAGTCTCTAATACTAAAACAAAACAAAAACCAACAAAAACGATCATTTGGATTTGCTGTTTTGTAATATGACTTTTCTTTTTTCTTTTTGTTACTGGGGATTAAACCCAGGAGTTCGTATCACTGAGCTACATCCCCAGCCCTTTTTTTATTCTGAGACAGGCTGGCTTTGAACTTGAGATCTTCTTGCCTCAGCCTCTCAAACTGCTGGGATCACAGGGGTGTGCCACCTACATCTAGCTATGACTTTTTTTTTTTTTTGGTGGGGGGAGGTGCTTATCCATGGAGTCACATCCCCTGCCCGTTTTTATATTTTTGAGACAGGGTCTTGCTAAGTTGCTGAAGCTGGCTTTGAACCTGTGATCCTCTTGCTTTAGTCTACCGAGCTGCTGGGATTACAGGTGTACATCAATGTGCCCAGCTACAGTATTACTTTTAAGTTCACTTTGCAGAATAAAATGACTCACACACACCCCTAGTCAATACATATTTTGTCTTATGCTGATCTTATTCTTTTTTAATACCATGGCTCTTCTTATGGTAGTACCAGATATGTTACATTGATAGGGGTAATCACAGATCATTTCAAAGTGAGAATTTGCCTCTGTCAAAGCAGTAGTCATCTGCAATGTTAAGAAAAGCAAAGGGATTTGAAGTCTTAAAGACAATTTGTTTTTATATCTTATGAACTCTAAAATAAAACAAATATTGTGTTAGCACATTAAAATAGGGCAATTTAAACATTTCTTGCAGGTATCATTAGGGGACTTGGCAGTACTGTGCACCAGTTTTAAAAAAAACCACTTTTAAAAAAAATATTTTTAAAATATTTAAAAAAAATATTTAGTAGTAGTTCCTTGCAAGAGAAGAAGTAGAATGGGAGGTATTAATTAGAATTCCTGAGATAATGAGGTTAAAAAGTATTCCCCAAGTACTTATGAAATAACATGTTTGGAATTATTGAAAGGAGAAATTTGGAAATTAATCAGCCTTGTAATTAAATGAAGCAAATTAGGATTTTCCACTATTCTTTACTAACATTCCATGGTTTTTTGTAATAGAACATTACTTATTCAAATAAAGAATTTGAATAAAGAATTTACTTTTAAACTAGAAACCCACTTTATGAAAAATTAAAATAAAATATTATGTGGCAATTCATTTTTTCAAATAATGTATTTTCATAAACCCGATGACAAAGAAAAATTAAATATAAGTAAAGTCCAAATGAGCCAATCTTTAAAAAGTATTAAGATTTCAGAATTCTCATATTCTTATATATACCAATTAAGGACTTCCTGACCTTATTTTATTCCTCACTTGTTCTCAGTAGTCAACCTGTCAACATTTATGTTAAAAAGTTACTAGTATGCTTTTGAACAGGAGCACTTACTTGCTGTTTCAAGACCAAGTTCTTCACTCCTTCCATCACAAACTGAGATCCTGTATTCATGACTCGTGATAAGAGACTAGGTAGAGGCAAAAGAGAAGGACTTCAGTAAGTAATGCTACTCCAATTTTTTACAGATATAATATCTGCTTGCTTACACACTGCATGCTGATGCGCACTGTACCTACTACCATTGTTTTCACTAAACAGAAAGACCCTGAGAATTTCTGCTTCCATGGGTATCACTGCTGCAATTTTATTTAGCCATAAGATGATGAGATTAGTCAGTAATTATTTTAAAAAAATTTGTTCTCAAATAAATATTAATCTTAGGTACAGTTTTTAGGCAAAGTATAATTTGAAGTAATTAAAAATAGTAACCCAGACAACTTGCTTTAGGAGCTCAAACACACATGTTGAAAATACATATGCTTACTAAGTACTATGAAAAGGTCAAATGTTACTGTCTCTTTCTACTGTGTTCGCAGCAGTAGAAAGGATCCAGTCCTGAACAGTATACTATGTCCTCTCTCTATAGAAAGTCTATAATAAAAATGTGGGGTATAACCCACTTCATGAATTCTGTCTCAATTCTGAAGAATGCTTATTGTCAGAATTTTTTTTTTTTTTTGTACCAGCGATTAAACCCAGGGCACTTAACCACTGAGCCACAACCCCAGCTTTAAAATTTTTTTTATTTTGAGAGTGCCAAAATTGCTTAGGGCCTCACTAAGTTGTTGATGCTGGCTTTGAACTTGCAATCCTCCTTCCTCATCCTCCCAAGTTGAGGATATTACAGGTGTGTGCTACCACTCCCGGCTCTTGTCTGAACTTTGAACAACAAAAAGAATGCCAACAAATGACTTGTCACACTGGGTTTAAATTTATGGTTCAGTCTCTCACATGGATCTCTCACATGGCACAGAAGAGTAATTCTGATACATTTATGATATTAGAGGACTAGGGATAGCCTGCAAATTGCTTTTATTATAACACTTTTTATTAAAATCCCCAACTAAAAATACATAAGAAATCTAATAAGCTTAATTTAAATATTTCTTAAAATTTTAAGACATGAAACTGGAAAATCTCTTTTATTAAATACATGTGAATTATTTTCCAAAATTATTTTCCTCTTCCCTGTTTTATCCTTACCCCCTTGCTGAAAAGAAGAGATGGACAGGATGGATATCCTTAATTAACAGAAATAAGAGAAAGTAATCTTTGTTGGAATACACACAGGCAACTCTGAAGGGCATATAAACTGCATAGCACTCTCTGCAGCTGGATTCATTTTGCCCAGGACTTACAAAGGGCAGGCCTTAGGCAGAGTTCTATTGTTTCTGGAAAATGTTTCATTAAAACTTGTATGGAGCTAGGATGAGCCAGTTTTCCTTTGAACTGCATACTTTTATTTATTCTAGCTCTAAAAAATAAGTTAGGAATTTGAAACTTGCATGGTATGGAAGAGAACAGTAAGAATTATCTTTGTTCATCATTTTTGAAAATTACGTAAACTTTATATGAGTCTTTGGAGTAAGAAGTCATCCACAGTCCTGGGTACTTCCTAGCTATCATTCAGCACCATGCCTGGATCTGTCTTACACCTAGGTCTGAGTGACTAGCTTCAAGTCTATGTTAATGATCAACATTGATATAAAAATAGTTTTAACCTTCACATATTTTCTGAAAATGAAAAAGGTAATGTTTTAAGAACAAAGAAGCACATGAAGTTCATATCATGTAAAAGATACTGCATTACATTTAAAAAAAATTTAAACCATCTAAGGAAGCCAAAGGCATGGTGATATTTATCCTGCATCATAACAAAAACATTCTTCAAAGTGTCAGGTATTGTGTTTTTAAGGCATGAAAGTCTAATTAAAGCCTGGAGGACAAGGATTCAATCAGCATTATTAAAAATACTTACCCCATTGGTTTAGTGGTAGTGTTTCCATAGCTGGCAGGAGCTGAGGCCATCTTGGCAAAAGCCCTAAGATATAAGAAAGTTATATTTAGATGTGACTATTAAAATTCCTATTGAGTATTATGGTATTAAAATATCTATTGGCCAACTCTAACTTCTATTATGCATTTTCTGAAAAAGAGAAATAATTTTTTAAACCAACATAACTATATTCACTTAGAACAGAAACACTGATATTCTTTAAAAACACAAATGCATTTTAATCTTCACAATTTTTATTTCTTTATCCACTCCCATCTGATCAAGGACAAGAACTGAGGCAGACACCTACTAACTTAAGACAACAATCATGTATTGATTAACTTTAGTCTCCTTATTGTTTCCATATACTGTATTCTCTTGTTCCCAAATACATGCCTTTGCTCACTGTGACCTTTGGAGAGTAAAACTCACTACCTTCTGCAGTGGAAAGTGCCCATTTCCTTTTAAGACTCAGTTCAAAACCACTTTATCATTACTCTTTCAATTTCTACTATTCAATGATTTTTTTCCTGTAGCCGTATTTTGTACCATACAATTTTATATTTAATTGCATTACTTTTAACTGTTTTGAAGTATCTAGAGTGTCTTTAACTATAACATTATTAAGGGTTGGGGGAAAACAAGGCACTTAGGTGTGTTTTAAAAATTTTTCCTCTGAGTCTATTCTCATTCTGTACAGAATCTAGAAAATACAGAATGCTTCCAGAAGAATTCCACAACTTTGAGGTAACCAAATATTAGGATGTTGGTGTACATTTTTCTAATCTTTGGACATATGCATACATAAAGTACATGGTTTAAAAATCAAAATTAGCATTGTATTACTATAAACATTTAATGTCAATAACTATTCTTTCATGATTCTTAATTATTTCAATTGTTTTGTAAATAAAAATAAAGTGTATGTGTGTGGGAAGAGACCTAAGAAAATTTTTATAAAAGTAAAAAAGAATGGGAATCACTAAAATGTGGTAGTTGATATGCAGACAATATTCAATCTCAATCTTTATAAAATCTGTCAATAGAAATCCCAAACTTGACACAAAAATATGTTTTGTTCAGAAAGGAGGATATGAATCAACTATTTCTAGCAGTGAATTGGAATTTCTGTCTTAACAAAAATCTGTGTTTTTTTTTTTTTTACTAGAAACTATATGTAAACGATTAAGAGGGGTTTATAAATAGCATTATATTTGTATGACTGAATATTATGCAAACATCAAATATTAACCTTGGAGACTATCTTAAGAACAATGACAAACAAAACCTTATAAAAATGATCTTCCAGTTTTAAGAAATATATGTAATACATGCACAAAACAGAAGGATATACAATAACATTTACCTGTAATCTCTGGATAGCAAGATTACAAGTAAATTTTTACTTTTTCTTTATACATTACTTTCCAAATTTTCTTCAATAAACTGGTATGGCTCTTACAATGGGAAAAAAAATCTTTATTATAAATTAGAGTTTATATATTTTATGACTGTGTAAAATAATGCCCAAGATTGTTTCCCCTCCCATAACTCTAAATACTGATTAAAGAATTGCATGTAAATCATAATATAAAACAAACAATGTATATATATGACTGCATGACAGATGTGATTCTACAATATGTACAACTAGAAAAATGAGAAATTATGCCCCATCTATGTATATCAAAGTGCATTCTGCTTTCATGTATAACTAATTAAAACAAATAAAAACATATTAAAAAAGAACAATGACTCTGTCACACTGCCAAATATGTCTGTATATTATAAAAGTTGGAAAAAAATAGTTTTCAGTTTTTCTTTTTATAAAAAGGTTTGTTGTATATTACAAGAATACAGTCAAGTGAAATTTGAGAACATGAAAGCATAGATAATACTCAAAAACTTACTACTCAGAATAACCACTGTTCATTTGGTACATTTCTCTTGCTATGCACATTTTTTGGGACATAACTGGCGATCAGAAAGCACAATTCAATCTTACTCTTTTAAAAACTGATTTAAAAATTATTTCAAAGGTAATGTTTATTAAAGTAAATTTGGAAAATAAAGTGGTTAAAAGAAAAAAAAAATCTACCACTAGGAGTTACCTGCTAAGACATTCAGAGGTATGTCATTTCACTTATGCAATTAAATGTATATATGTGTATACTAACACACTAATACAGAAAAATGGATAAACAGGAATTGTGCTGTAAGTGATTGTGATAAACAGGGATTGTGATGTAACACATCTAAGTTTGTGTTCAAATGTGATATACCCAGAGGTTTTCCCTGATCTCCTAAACATATTTAGCTCTTACCTCCAATAAATTAAGATCTTATTCAACTTTATTTCTTTTTATTTGATTAACATGGCATAGCATCATTCTGTTCATTTACTTGTTAACTATTCCCTTAAGATAAATTCACTGCCAGTGGGGCCTTGCTTATTAGGCTTTACTATTAGAAAATACAGTCATCCTTCAGCATTCACAGGGGATTGGTTCCCAGATCCTCAATGATATGAAAATCTGCAAATGCTCAAGTCTCTTAAATACAATGCATAGTATTTGCATAAAACCTATACAAACAATCCCCATATACTTTAAATCATCTCTAAATTACTTAGCATACTTAACGAAATATGAATTCTATGTAAATAACTGTTATACTGTATTGTTATAGGAATAATGATAGGAAAAAAGTGCATATTGTGGAGAGCAGTGATAGAGAATGGGAGAACAGTGTCTGAGATTGGGGTCTCTGATGACTTCATGGCTGTGGTATGCCTGATGCCTGGGAAAGTTTCTGTGCAAAGGTGCAGGATGCCTAGCTGCTATGGCAATGCCCTCTGTGAGGAGGCTCTGTGCTAGAGTCTTATCAACCTCGATCTTGATCTCAGGAACTCAGCTCCTAGGAATGAAAGAACTCTTTGGCTAGAAAACCACAATGTTTTGCCAGCTCCACTGCTCCTGAACCTGTCCACACAACATAACTTTAAACAATGGACTTTCTTGAGAGCTACCCAAAGCTCCTAATATTGCACAATGCAACTGTAGAATGTAATTGCAGAATAAGCTGCATAATATTGTTAACTAACTTTCATGAATACAAAGACTAATGCTTGCATAGTCTTTAATCTGATTAATGAGACATATATAAGTAAAGATTGCTGGAGTAACTCTTCAGACACTGCTCTATTGTCACTGCTCTCTACAACATGTGTGTTTAGAAAAAATTTTTTTTGAATATTTTCAATTGGTGGATATAGAAACCATGAATATGGAAGAACAAAAGTATTTATCAAACAGATCAATAAAGACTGTTACACAATTTTTTTCTCCTTAAAAAATACATGAACATTTCCTATGTCAGCAAGTCTTCTACAGCATGATTTTTAGTGATTCAATTGTATTCTACCTTATGGAAATGCTACAATTTACTTACCAATCTTACCACTGGACATTTAAGTTGATTTTCAAAATTTCATCATTTTAGTTACTTCTAAGATTTTACAACTCCAGTTACTTATTTGGGATAAATCATTAAGAGAAGAATGTGTTAGGTTCAAGCCATTTTTTAAAAGCATTTTTATATCATCCAGAAAAAGAGTGACAATTTATATTCACAGCAACACAGTACAAATTTGCCAATTAATCATCTTTGGCACAATATTTTCTACATTATGTTAATCTGTATTACCTGTGAAATTAAAATTACCTTTTAATGTTTTTAAGACACTTCAGTCTTTGACTTTTTTACCTTATCAGTGGAGAAAATATAAAGCTTGTCTAAAAAAGAAAGTCATTACTGTTTTATATAATTTTAAGATGTGCATAGGGTGGGTCAGATAAGGAAATATTTGTACCACTGGATATAAAAATCAACAATGGCACTGTTTAATTTCCTTATTAGCATTCCCATTTTCTTGTGAACAAAACCTTAACAGTGCCCTTACCTTAAATGACAGGAATAAAGAAAATAAAACTTACTTCCACTGTTTGATATACTGTAAAGGATTAAGGTTGCATCCTGCATCTGTTAAAGCTTTTTTATACTGCTCCAAATCAGCCTGAAATAAGAAAAGAACTGTATGACAAAAATTTATGCTTTCATGAATGTTGTCATTTGAGTAATCAGCAAGTAATACCAAAAGCATGAGCTTAAATTATTGGTACCTAAATAGAATGGAGTTGCATCTTTACTGAATACCCAAGTGAGGATCTGAGACAAAAATCATATAAAATAAAAATAACTTAACAGGTTCCCAAATCACCAATAAAGTGTAGTATTTTATCATCCCTCAGTAAATTCAACAGTCACGTTTTTTCTCTATTGCTAACATAGATTGGCTTTCTTTGGGACAAGCATTAAATTAATGATTTGGCTTGACCAAGAATATTTCGGAACCAGAAGTAACAGGAGAACAACATGGACTGAAAAGAACTGCTGATTCAGGTTTCCCATCTTATATATTCTAGGGGTCCAGATTCATTAACTGAAAAACAGTGTATTACACCCCCTCCACCACCCAGATTGGGGTCTGAGTGTCCTACACCTCTTAAATAGCTGTTTTTTTCTCTCTTCCTTGAGCTTTTTTTTTCCTAATGAGTAAGTCCAGTTGAATCTGTGTAAGTTAAAGAACTATACTATAAAAACATTACAAGGGAGAAGTGGTTAAAGTTTACCATCAACCAGGAGTTTTCATTACTTTGTATTAAAGGGCTGTTAATCTGATACCAGTAGCCATAATTTGCATTAAGCCTCTTAATCATCACTGAAACGTCTGAAAAGATGTAATTTTTATACAAAAATAAATGAAATTAATGCCCAATTAAACTATTGTTTTAAAATCACTTATATATGATTTAACTATATATATATATATTTTTTTTTATATTGGCGATTGAAACTAGGGCATTCTACCATAAAGCTACACTTTCATCCTTTTATACTTTTTATTTAAGACAGGGTCTCACTATGTTGCTGACGCTGGCCTTGAACTTGTGATCCTCCCTCCTCTACTTTCTGTTTTGCTAGGATTACACTCATGCACCACTGTGCCCAGCTAAAAATCATAGTCTTAAGAAAGCATAATAAAGTCTGTTAGAATCTTATACAATATAATGGGAAACTCCCATTGATGAGAGATTTTTACAAAGAAAACCATACTTACTGAATTAAAGTAGAAGTCAAAAGATAGATGTATTCCTATAGTACAATAGAAATGGCCTAAAGCAAATACTGGGTTTAGTTTGCTGTTTTAACATGCCCCAAAGTTTTGATCTTTGCTGTTTTAACATGCCCAAAAGTTTTGATCTGCAGAAGCCTGACAATTTACTAGACATTAAAAAGTAACTGCTACCAGCAAAGGAAATTTACAATAGCCATGTTATTCCAGATGTAATCTTAGAAGTTCATTTAGTAAAACTAGTTGCTCATACTTCTTGCTCACCTAGTAAAACTATACTTGAGAAAGAGTCAATGATCTCTAACTCAGTAAGAAGCCTGACACCAAAAACCCATCACTTTCCTACATAATAGAGGATATAGGATATTTTCTATGGAATACTAGTTTCAAAACAATCTTAAAATTATAAGACTGTCTGTTCAAAAATCCTATCAATACTGGTTAACCTATTTTAGAGTAGTTATTTTCCAGAAATAAGAATTTTGGCACCTTGAATTCAGTTCATATTTTAACAACTTAATAGTGGTCAGACATTTCCTGAATGGACAGTTTACCCTGGTGACAATAAAAACTGCCACAAACTCTGTAGTAAATAGAATGAGCCTTAACAAATTGTTTTTCTTTTAAAGAAAAGAATGAAGTAGTTATCTAGCCATAGTGATTTTTATTTCTATTTTTGAAATTCTGTTATAACTGCAAATAAGCATTCCTCCCAATAATTCTTTAGAGCACATACCTCAGAAGGGACTTGCTGTGTACTTATGTAATAGATAAGAAACAGTCTCATTTTGTCTTCTGGAGTTCCTGCTACAAAAGAAAAATAACAACAAAAAACTTTCATAATTGTGGTTATGATAATCAACATTTACAAGTACATTAAAATTCAAGGCATATGTAAATGTGGCAAAACAAAATATGGTTCTTGATTCAACTGAAAATTACCATAATTATAACCACATAAAATACAGATACAGAAAAAGATTAATCGTAGGGTTAGAGGGCTGTGATTATGGAAACAAATTCATTCTAACTTACAAACTATAGTGTTGAGATTTACTTTTTAGATTAAAAAACTCAAAAAGAAAAGGAAGGATATAGGCAGGTAATAATACAATTATATAGAATGGGATACTTGTAAGATGGCAAGAAGAGGTTGGTAAAATTAATAGTTGTTTAATAATAAATAAAATAAAACTATAAAAATACAATCACATTTAAAAAATAAAATTAAAAAATTTTAAAAATCCCTAGGGCATTTATTAACACTAATATTATAAAATATGTTTTCTCTTGAGGAATGGGAACTATTCCTTCTTTTTAAAGCAAAGTATTACCTATTATTGGAAGATGTTATGGATCAAACCCAGTGCATTACACATGCTAGGCAAGTGCTCTACCACTGAGCTACAACCGCAGCTCCCTCTAGAGTCTCTTTGCCAATAGAGCTATCTTATGGTAAGGATTGAAGAGCATCCTGATGCATATAACTATATATGAACCAAACTGAAATCATAAAATGTTTCTTTTTAAACCAAGAGTCTATAGCACGTAGCTACAGCCTGGAACCTCTTGTCATACTTTATATTTTGAGAAAAGTTTTAAGAATAGCTTGGAAAGCATTTTTTTAATCTCTGAAAAATTTAAGTTGCTGAGCTAATGTCCATTACTCTCAAAGTCGAAGACATTTCCAATATAATTTTGATAACAGAAAATTGACGTTGATACATTGTTACATAGATGTAGTAATCTGCTACTTGATATGTATATTATTGTTTAATTCTCATATCCCATTTCAAGTTTAATGAACTGTCTACAATATCTTTCATGGCAAACTTTGGGATAATGTGTTGCACAGAATTGTTATGCCTCTTTAGTCTTCTGTACAAAATTGTTCCTCCAGCTTTCCTTGACTGGCATGACTTGGTATTTTTTAAAATTATAGGTTACATTTTTTTTTTGGCAGCATACTGTGCAATTAATATTTCATCACAATTAGATTCAGATTATACATTTTTAGCAAGAATATTACAAAAGGATGCTGTATTCTTTGCAATGAATCATAGTAGGTGCTGCAGTATTTCCGAATATCTCATTACTGATGATTTTAATGTGATAATCAAATAGGGTATTTGTTAGGCTTCTCCACTGTAAAGTTACTATATCTCTCTTTGTAATTAATAAATACTTTTAAAGTAAGTACTCTGAAACTGTAAATATCCTGTAAAATTTGAAGGTAACCATTTTTTTTTTTTTTTTTTTTTTGTCTATGAGGACTTGTAGCTGTTTCATTCAATGGGCTATACTCATTATTTATTCTGACATTCAACTGTCATGATTTGGAGACTTGTCAAGCTGACTTCTGGGACTTTTTGACATGTTCTATCATATTTTGAGTTCTTTCCTTGCTTTTTGTTACAACAAAATGTTCCAGACTCATCTAGTACTTCCTTTCCCTACCTGAGTCCTGGAATCAGTTACTTCTCCAAGGAGTCCTGGTGGAAAATGGTATTTATGAGCCAAAATCTTTAGCAGTGGGATATTACTGTTCCCAGGCCTCCTCAGCTAGGGAATACATAAGTGTGCACATATGTGTGTGTGTATATTGATTTCTAGATCTGACAAATATATAGTGAGAACACTAAATTCACAACACTTGAATACTACTTCATTCTAGTTTTTACCTTTCTGTACTTAATACTTCTTCCTCTGATGACAAGAAATCCAGCTCCCTTTAAACTAATCGACATATTTACTTGTTTAACTAGTTCTCTGTTTGTAATAAGTATCCATATCTGCTGCTATCCCTTTGCTTGCAGGGATGATCTTCTTATTTCACTTGAACTCTGATTCCCTATGATGGAACCACCACACACCTGGACATACTTTTCAACCTACCTGGGCCCAGACTGAGCTTGTGTGGGATCACTTGCCTTAATCAGTTAGGGCTTTTATACCTCTTGCAAAACTTGTTCCTACATGTGGATACACTGTTCATCCCCTCTTGAACTTTGACATTTCACGCTAGGTTACCCACTCCCCTCTACCCCATGTGTAGTTTCTCCTGCCATCCTGCTTAGGTTCCAACATCTTGTTCTGGGCTAAAGTGGCACCAGACTGCCACTGTGCATGAATGCCGACTTTGTTCTGCCCTACTTAATGTCTTTTGGAAAAAGTTGTGTGAGAAACAAAGAAGAAAGGCCTTTTTATCAACACATTTATTGTTTTAATTGTATTCAGAATTTTTTTTACAAATAACAAGGAATACCTCGGAAGTGATGGATGTTTCTCTCTTTGCAAAGTGCACATACATAGCAAAACGTTATAAGTCTAGTTTTTAAAAGTATAAGCAATACTTGTGGCTCCTCAGAAGTTTTAATGAATGGAATCTTTATTTACACATTAGTTTGGATTTTCTTTTTTTCAATTTGGAAAAAAGTCTAAAGCTTATATCCGAATTTGAACTAAAAATCGTCATTATACAGCTTGAATACTCCATATCTGCAAAATGGGTCATGGGCTTTATATTTGCTTTGGGAAACAATGAAATTTGGATTCAGAACTATTCTGAAATAATCAAAACGTCTCTTAAGGTTTGAATATTTTAGAGGCTAACCCCCTACATACATTCCACAGTCACTATAATTAAAAGTTATAATTAGGTTATATTTTCAAATTATAAATAGTTGTATTTTGTTTCAATACAATCTAACATAAAATACTTAGACATACAAATATAAAGAATTGACTACAAGGTTTTCTCAAAGTGAATTTCTTAAACATATAAAATAGATTTAGAAATAAAAACAAAAAGTGCTTTAAATAATATCAAAGGAAAGTTCAGTAAATAAAATACAAATCATTTTTCCACTTTAGGAACTACTACGTTGAAAGTTTTTCAACAGAAAACAGTTCACTGAGCTTCCTTGTTATTAGTATTGACTCAGAAAAGTAGTAATTCTACTTAAATTTTGCTCAAATTGAAAATGGTGGATTCATAAGATGTGAAACTTTTAACCTTAAACTTATGGTACATACCATCAGGGTCTGATATTATATCAAGAAGAGATTTATCCAAAGTAGTTTTGCTCATTATTTTTTCTTCATATTCAAAATATACATCCAGCTTTCTTGCCTGTTTCAAAGTAAATATTAGATGAGACTACATCAAGTAATAAAAATATATTAAAAGTCTTTCAAAAGTTTCTATTTTCTATAATCAATTTAAAAAATAAATGTTCATTTCCTGGTACAATTTCAAGTTTCTTGCTTTTAATCACACACTTAATATACACATATACATACATGTATAAATCCTAGCCAACAGATTAACTATTTTGTAATGTATCAGAATTAACTGTACATGTCTTACATATTAGTAAAAATAAAAACACACTAATCGTATTAATTACCAACTAGAACACAAATCACATTGTACTCCATGCAAATTAATATTGTGGCCATGCTGTTTACATTTCTTAGTGTGCAAATCCACATTTTTCTATCTTAAGTGAACAAAAAATTACCCTAATTAGCCTGCTTTCAATGTTTTTTAAAAATTAAACTTTTTTCCCCTCATTAGTTCTATTTGATATGTTGAAGTTTTAGATAACAAAAAAGTAGTAAAATGTTTCCAAGTGACATTGATCCAAATGAAGTTAGAGTAAATAAAAGTAATTATTCTCAAATATCTATTAAATTATGCTTCTTATAACAAAACAGAAAAGAACATATTTGTTCCTAACACAAAGGAGTTAAAAGTTAAAGTAGCAATAAAAACCATTCATGAAATAAATTTGGATACTCAACAATACCAATAAAGAATCAACAGATAATTATAGAAGGTAAATATTTTATGCTAAAATTATATAATTAAATAAATAAACTTTTGTGGAAGAGGAAGTGATATATTTTGAATTAAAAGTGACTTGGGAACTCAGGTATAGCTCATTTAGGTTAAACAGATCATACCAAGGTACAACAGAGTGCAGACATCCAAACAGTAGACTAAAGAGTGGATTTCACACACGGGCAATAGGGAAATAAGTCAGTCTTTTCAATTCCACTCCCCTGCAGTGGCACACAAAGCCAGATTTTTAAAGAATGAAATATTCAGGTAGTTTAAAAATAAACAACACAGAAAGGACAAAGAAGTTCCAGTTCTTGCCAGTCTTCTTCCCATTCATTTCCACCTGCTTCTATCAGCATTTTAATTATTTCTTCTATAGTTTTTCACTGTATTAACATAAAGAAATAGAACCTACATTCTAATATCCCTCCCCATTTTGACACAAAAAGTTAATATGCTATACTCTTCTGCCCCTTTTTGAATAACATAGACTACATCAGTATGTGAAAATTTTCTTTACCAGTGAGTGCTTAATGAGAGTATAATAGAAAAAGTTTCTTCCTTATTATAAAATGTTTGTGCCTTCATATTCCCTGATGATATAGGAACTATTTTAGCTACTATATAGTGCTACTTTTATAACTATAACAGAAAAGAGGTAAAATCCTATGGAATGACAAAATCCTAGAAATAATATTAAAAATAGACAAAAGAAATATAAGAGAGATCCTATAGAAAAGACCAGGGTAGTGGCTAAGGGAACAGAGAAGATAGATATTTAATAATTAACACAAGAAAGGATATGAGAAACAACAGTAGTGAAAGAAGTAAAAGAAAACTCCCAGGGAACTAAAATGATAGTAGGAACTATGCTAATGTGAATATTAGATTAGGAAAAGCTATTATTTGTAAAGCCAGGAATGAAAACGGAAAGGCAATAAAATATGGCATTATTTAGGCCGTTCACAGTATGACCCAGCCAACTTTTTTGATTTCAGCATTATTTATAGACTTGGTTTCCTCAGTACACCATATAGCTCACCAAATTTTCATTAAGCATAGTGTATACTTTTAACCTTCCAGGGTTATGCACAAGTTATTTCTTGTAGTTTTTAAAGGATATATTACTTCTCTATCATTTATCCAGTGAATTCTATTCATTTCATCTTATTTGCAGCTTCTCTGCTCTCTCCCTCATATTCCTTAGCCAGAACTCGTTACTCCTTTCCCTGTACCAAAAGCATTTCATAATAACAATGATCTCTCCATAACAACAATGATCACATCACATTACTCTCCTTTGCTTTTTATGTCTTCTTCCTAAAATTATAAACTCCTTAGAATGTGTCTACTTAATTGTTTAACCTAGGAGTTTAACAAAGAACCTGGCTCATAATAAGTACTTGAATTTATTGAATTTCAAAACTAAGAGCAGGACATATACAAGCAAGCAGTCATTTTTAAAAATCATAAAAATAGGTGAATGACCTTCTAGAAATAAAAAATGTAAATAATCTAATCTTTAGTGCTTTAATATAAAGAATTAAGCATGCTAAATGTTACAAGGGAATCAAATGTCTATATGGATCAGTGAAAAAACAATGTTTCATTAACTTATGCAGGTATACACACATCTGATTCATTTCTCCTTTCTTGACATATTAACTTGTATTCCAAATTCTAAGGAGCAATGTAAATCGAGTCCCAAAACAATTTAGTTTGAGTGGTAATGGACAGGGTTTAAAAAAATTAAAAAAAAAATTGTTTTTGGTGATAAAAAAGTTCCAACATCAGGTTGTGATTATAAATTTCATCAATTCTATGAGTATACTAAAACATATAAGTGACCCATGAAATGTCTCTACAGAGCTCTAGGGTACTAGAGAACAGTGTTTAAAAACCACTACCTTAAATTATCTTGTTTAATTCTCCAAATAACACTATGAGCTAGGAATTGTTAGTCTCATTTTAAAGATGAAGAAGCAGACACAAAGAAACTTAAGTTTATTCAAGGTTACCAGAGTAGAAGTAGTAGAGAGTTGAGATTCAAATCCAGGTCATACTTCAATGTACACCACAGATAAAGAGTAGGGAAATTTATATTTTCCTCAAGAACAATTTATTGCTTCTTTTGCTTTATGAAAAAAAGCATATTTGTCAATTAGTACGTGTTTGGCTTTTTGGTAATACATATAATTTTTGTATATATTTGGCAAAAGGTCATTCTGGCCAGAGATCTTTTATCTATAGGTCTTTTCTCAAATTCTTCAAATGAAGGAAAATACTGAGAGAGGCAACTTGGTAACTTCAAAGATTGGTTATTCTTATTCAACATGGGCTTAATAGATAATACAATTTGCATAGTAAGAGTGACATTAAAAATGAACAACTTAAAAATTATAAAATAACATCAAGATAAATTTTTGGTAGTTACATTAAATATCAAGAATAAACAGATAAAAGGGACTATAAAAGGGACTATTATAGAAAATCAAAAGCACTACACATGGAATACAGATTATACATACAGTGAATATATTGTGAATATGAGTTATGAGAAACATGAATTTCTCAAGAATTGCTTTAGAAGGGCTTTCTAAGCAAGGATATGATAAAAGTAAATTTAGTATTTCTTTCCAGTTAACAATGAAGCTTTTTAGTATACTGTCTCAGAATTTATATTCAATTAATACTGCATATATGTTGTTAAAATTTGCCTACTCACTGGATTGGAAAAAACACAAATAAAACAAATCTAAAGAAAACATTTTCCAAAGCTAGTCTGTCTCTTCCTTTACTGTAATGGACAATTCCTTTTCATAATAGACAATTCTTAAGATTCATCTGAGAAGTATAGTTTGTTTACACCTTTTGCCTTTTTGAAAATCTGTTACCTAGAAACATGTACCAGATACCCACACAGGATATAAACGGAATTCTTTTCCTTATAATTGTTGGAGATCTTCCATCTCTTTGGCATTCTTCTCTCTATTCTAGCAGATATCACCATTATAGAATTCTCTCTTCATTGCTAGCCTCATTTCTTACCTCTGTTTAATGACTGACTGATGGCAAAGTCCTTCTCATCTCTAGGCCCCAATTATATCCCCTGCTACCATTTAGCAGTGAAAGAAAAGGCAAGAAAGAATTAGAGTTCTACCTCCTTCTTCCATTAAAAATCTCAATATTTCTCTCTATTTTTCTTAGGGGGGGGAGAGAGAGAGAGAGAGAGAGAGAGAGAGAGAGAGAGAGAGAGAGGGAGAGGGAGAGGGAGGATATAAACCCTTCTATGTTACAATGCAATATGAGAAATAACTCTACATTGTAGACTAAACAGGTTCTATGGGAAAGAAACCTATCTACCACATAATATTTTAAAGAAGGTATATTATACGCTATAATAAACTTAGAATTAGACTTCCAGAATATAATCTGTACCTAAATTGAAGACTGTTTATACTTCAACCTTTTTTATTCTTTCTTTCTTCTTCATGAGTTTAATTTGTACCATCTATTAGGGCTGTACTTCTATCTCCCTTCATCTACGTGGGTAGCAGTGGTAATGCATTATTCTAATAGTTTGTGGTTGGTGTATATCATGAGATTATGAACTCTTCAAGACTCCTCATTCATTATTGTGTACACTGGGCCCTACAAGATGACTGGGATTCTCAAAAACAATTTTTTTTCCCTAATATAACAAAATATCAGGTTAATTTATTTTCAGTTATTTAGGTGGGTATTTTGATGAATTTCACACTGAAATGTTTGCCACTGCATGCATGAGTTTGCCAACATAAGAAATTATTTCACAGTAACTGGATGAACCATTAAGTTATATTTAGAAGTGTTTTATAAGACAAGTAGCTGAAAATAATCACTTTGAAACACTTGCTTATATGTCAGAATGACATAAATTAATCCTTTCATCTTCACCTCAATTTTGTGCAGAGGAGGGAAAATGCAATGTATTATTAAGGTGAGGAAACTGGTTAGGATCTTCAATTTCTACAATAGAATGTTAACCTTACTACTTGATTATCTCATTTTTAAATCTTCGTATTTTTCTATCAAGACACTAAATTTCTAGCATTCAAATAAGAATATAGAATCAACTTTGCTTTATCAAATCCAATCAAAAATTGATATTATAAATTATTTAAAAAATTGGTAGTCATCTATTCTAGATATTAAAAATTCTATTCTAAGTTTAAGATGAACCATTAAAAGGCTATGAACTTAGATCTTACTACCTTGGTAACTGATAGAACTACTCTCACTGAATT